TTTTTCACTGACAAATTTATGGTCAATGGGATGAAACAAAAGGAAGAATTTCACGAGTTGTATTGTTGTCGTGATGCATTATTTGATAATTAAATTTTAATTCAATCTCGTTTCATTTAGCATTTTATTAATCTCCTCTTTTAATTGGAAAAATAATCCCTTTGACATTTTTGGGAAACGAGAATTATTTTTCCTTTATTATTTAAATTTTAATTTCTTTAATCCAATTCTTTTTTTTTTTCTTTTTGTAGATGTTGATCCACGGACGAATGATATTAGAAATATTTATAGTTGGATGAAAAACGTATGTGTATTTTGTTTAATTAAAATTATGTTGAATTGCATGGTACGCGTGGTAATTTTTTAATATGATTTACGTACATTTAAGGTAATTAGTATATTAGAATAATTTTTAAAAAGCATACTGTTTATCTTTATTTAAAATATGTTGAAAGCATTACGAAGATATATATTTGATGTGAGAAATGAGATTCGAAATTGAAAGTATACGTACGTTTTCATAGGTGAATTAAATTATTTACGTGCTCTTTCATTACGAATTAAATTATTGAAATTGGAAGCATTAAAACACTCCGATTCGATAGTTATAAATTTGGATGAATTAATTTTGATAATATAATTTATAATTAAGCATATTTATGTTTTCACAAGGTATTAAAATTACGACTTTATGAAACTGGAAAAATATTGGACGTAAAATTTTAATTAAAAAATATTTATAATCCTTTATCACGAAAAATACATAATATTTCCGATGAAGCCAGAGAAATTTCATCATCATCATCATTCCTTAATCATAAATTATATTTCAAAATTAATAACTTTCGAATTATATATCTATAATTGAGAGAAGCATTTTAATGTTTCCAATTTCGATAATTTAATTCGTAACGAAAAGAACGCGTGAGATTAATATATTTGAAATCTACCGAATAATATTATATAACATGTAATATAGTTTATTAAAAGTTACATGCGTATCATATGATTCAAATGGATAAAGAAAATATTTTTATAACAATGTGAGAGGAATTTGCAGAAAAAAGACAACGTGTTAATTAATTTTGTGTAATATATTTGAAACTTGTCGATTATTAATATGATATAATACGAAGTTTATTAAAAGTTATAATCGACATAATGAACTACATTAAATATGAAATATGAATTAAGAGAAGGAAAACATTCCTTTCTTTCTTTCTTTTTTATTATAAACGAATAAGAATAATAAGAAAAAAATAATACGAATAAAATCTTGTGCAACGAAGTTTAAATAAAAAATAAGGCAATAGAAAATCAAATATAGATAATAGGTAAGAAGGAGGGGTAATGTAGTATGAAAGAAGGTAGAGGAGGAAGCGAGAGAAGGAAAAGCGTAAAAATATATAGTGGAACGAGGGGTGGAAAAAGTCGAACGGTAAAAAGCTGCTGGGATTAAAATGGAAGGGGGAGGAAATGAGAGGAGAAAGGGGGGAAGAGGAAATGAAAGTCAAAGAGTAAATAAGAAATTACTGTTTATTCATGTGGAAATACTTTTTACGATTGCGATTTACACGACATAAAGAAAAATATAATAAATATCGGGAAATGTATTTAAAATATTTCTATGTGGGACGAGATTGAAATTGTTGTTGAGATTATAAAAAAGATTAAAAAAAAATGACAAGGCTATAATAAGTACAAACCTTCAATCAAAAACGAAATTTTCGAATTAGATGAATTTTAATAAGATTTATTTCTTGATTTATTTCTTGATTTGTCACATTTCACTTCATCCAAACCTTTGTAACCATACGCGAATATTAGTTAAGCTTAATTAAAATACCATATAACGAATACAAATAATGTTCTATTTCTCACAGATCTCTAGAAGAAAGAAAGAAAAAAATCCTATATAACTAACAAATACGATCAAAAATTTTAACCAGTGTCTTACGTTAAACCGCATCCCCTCGAAATCCAACCAATAATACCCACTCAACGACGCAATCTCTAGAAAATCCTAATCGCCCCTTAATTAAAAAACGCGACGTGCATCCTCTATCCGGGACGCGACTTTTCCTCGACTCAAAAATTACTCACGATTCAATTCATTCTTGCGCGGGTGGAAACAAAACTGGGAAGAAAGAAACAAAAAAAAAAAAAAGAAAAAAAAGAAAAAAGAGGAAACAAATTAAAAGGACTACGCTCGCTAAACGAAGAAGAACAGCGGAGAAAGACGACGACGACGACGACGACGACGTCGACGACGAGAGCGAACAAAGAGACGCGGAGAGGGTGCGGAGAGAAAGCTTCTCCAACGTCGAGGGGAGCAAACATTAATGCCACCCCGCAGACCGCAGATGTTGCGCCAATTACAAACCTCAACCCCTTGCGCCGCGCCAACCGTCTCGCTCGCTCCTTAAACCCCGACTTCTCGAGAAAGGGAGAAACAAGAAGAGGAATACCGCGTGTTCCGACTTACGAGCCCGATGTCGCATATCTTCCTGCCTTCCAGCTCTTTGTCTTTTCCTTCTGTCGCGTCTTCCCCTCGACAGAACCCCTTCCCTCCCCTGTGTATGTGCACAAGAGCTTAGATGCACCGCTCGAGGCTACGGGAGACGCGGCCCACCGACGAGACACGAATTTTCGAAAAGGCACTCGCACTTTGTTAGATTAAATTTAGAGCGTAAGGCGTAAAAGGACGTTTTCTTTCTCTTCTTCTTTTTCATCTTTCTCTCTCTCTCTCCTCTATTTTCTTTTTTCTTTGTTTCGTTTCTTTCTCTCTGGAAGGGGGGTTGAAACGAAAGGAGAAAGAGATATGGTTAGAGAAATCATGGGGGGAGGAGGGGAGAAGGGACGGTTAGAGAGGGATGCTTCGTGATCCTTCGAGAGTAGAAGGAGGAAGGTTCGAGAAGGATAAGGGGGAAAGAAGGGGTGGGAGAGAGGGAGAACACCGAGTACGCCGGTGGCTGATATTATTCTTGGGTCTTCCTCGGTGGAGCATTATTAGTTCTGGCGTGTTAGCATACATGAAATATTGATGTTACAGAGAACCCTCCTCCACCCCTCTTCCCCTTTTCTCAAGTTCTTCTCACCCCCTTGGTCTCACGTCTATCTCTCTTTAGATTTTACAGATATCCCCGCTTGTAGCCTCGCGATTTCGTCTGTTTCCTTTCACGTGGACTTTTTGTCAATGATTTTCACGGTTTTTACCTTTCTTTCTATTCTTCTATTCTTCTCCTCGTAATCTCATATTCTTTTTACGAACATTTTCGGAGCTACGCGGATTAAATTTCTTCACTCTTTGATATACGTAGCAGAATTGTTACAGTTGTTAACAGTTTCCGCTTGTGTTTATATTTGTATATGAATACTTTATACGTGTGTGTTTGATATGGAAATCGATTTATAAATTTAGATCGAATCATTCGATTGAATGTTATCGAAGGAAACGGTTGTGCAAATAATTATTATATTTGTTGGATTATTCGATATTTGTTAACAATATTACAATAATTTTGAAGGTAAATTATTTTGTTGTTTATTATTTCATTTATAGAATATTTTATTATCGTCGTGATATTACTTTGTTTTTAAAATTCTCGCAAAATTGATAAAAAAAAAAAAAAAATCTCGGAATCGTGAACGAGAAAGGAAAATCAAATAGAACGAAAGTTACAACAAGTTGGTTACAGAGTTGATTAAATTTTTGAGCTTCTTTGACACGTTTAAATTTATCTTAATACGACGATTCTCGAAGCGTCCTAATTCCTTCAAGCTACCCTCAAAGCCGCGATCGATTTCGAGGATCTTAGACACGGGTTGCATTGGTTAACAGCCGGGTTAATTACTGGAAATTTAGAACTCGTCTCGAGGGAATCTCACGCTCTTAAACTAAAGTGTTCAATCCCCGATTTTGATTAATAATCCGTGATATTAATTCGTTTTTATAACTATTCCATATTTTTATCTAAGTTTAGATTGAAATACAACTTATTTTTTAAATCAATTTAATAGAAGAGAAAAAAAGAGAATTGTAAAGTTAAACTTTAGCAAAATCAAGGGAATCGTGTCCATTATTTTATTATTTTAAAAATTTCCACTAATATAATTCGTAAAAAGAAATTGTGGCAAAATAGATTTCTTAGAAATTTTGAAAGAAAATAAAAGAATTAGGTTGATATATATTTGCAAAAATAAAGTAATTCGATCTATCTAATACGCTGTCTCGTAAATTTCTCTTCATTTCGTCGCTAACATTATCACGTTATTACATTTTTGTTGCATTTCCGTCTCACTGCACCCGTTTCCTCTTTTCCCTCCGAGACTCCCCCATGGGAGATGTCTGAGTGATCGATGCGTTCTTCGAAAAAAGATCAAGATTGAAGAGAATACGTTTTCGCCGCTAGACTTCAAGGAGTGGAACTTTTTGTCATTTGCATTTACTTTTCTCCAAGTAGTGCGAAATTTCCATGTGTCTGATCTGTTAATCCGACATGTTTCGTTTCTCATGTTCCTAATCCATATTTCGCTATAAATTTCATTAAACGTGTCTATCTTAATCTTGAATACAAAGAAGAAAAAATACGTTGAATATGTATAATATTATTTTCAAGAACAAATTATAATGAATTTTATTAATACAAATGATAAAAAAACTGAACATAGATTGAAATACGATAGTTCACGATATAAACAAAGGAAATTATGTATATAATAATTAAAATATCTTATTTTATATATTTTTGTTCATTTTTCAAAAGCCATTTGTGATAGAGTTCGATTTTAATATTTCGATAATATTTAAACATTCTGAAAAAAATGACACTCATTTCGTTATGCATTAACAAGATATATAGTTCCATAAAATTGTTATTTTTGTAAAGTCTCGAAAATAATACCCTTTCTTTCAAAATCTCATTATTTCCTTTACCGTATCAGTATTTCAATCACGTTCGCACGAATAATAATTCGAACAATCCACGAAATGGTTTTACCTGCTTTTATATTTTTCTCGTTGTGAATCGTCAGCGAGCTTGGATTCCCGTAAACAGAGTTATTCATTTCGGCCATCAGCTCCCAATCTGTACAGAAAATGGCATTTTATAACAGTATCTCGAGGGATTTTTGCGGGAAATAAATATCCGAAACGTTCAGTCGCTAGAACTTCGTCCTTTTTCTTTTTCTTTTTTTCAAACGTACGTTGAAGGCTTGCCACCCTCGTTCTATAAATAATAAATTACCACCATTTGAATGGCGGTCGAGCAGCTAAATTATACAATTTCCTCAAAGAAAGTGACGAAAGTTAAACCGCTTACGAGATTCGTGCGCGGGCGAACACATCAATCGGCCATATTCTCAACATTTTCCATGACACGAAAAGTTACTTCTCTCTTCGGACTTTTAACTCTTTTTTACGAAGATTTCAAATTAAGGAATCCTTAGAAGAAATTCCATCTCTTTCCTCTCATAATAAATTGTATTATATACGTTTGAAAATATTGTTTTTCAAAATTTTCGCAGAACTCTGATAGTATTAAAAAAAAAAAAAAATCATAATACATTATAATATATATATATTGTTTCGTTCTAAACAATAACAGGAACCGTCGATTAAAAGCTACATTGAAAATTACGGAAATAAAATAAATCCGCGAGTTCAGAATGCTCTTTTAACGAGGGAGTAAAGAAGAAAAGAAAAAGAGAAGAAAGGGAAGAAAAGCGAAATAAGACGGGAGAAACGTCCAACGTCTCGAAGATGGAAGATTCTTTAAACGGTATCGAGAGGGGAGAAGAGGCGAGCATGCGGGATAAAATATCATTTTCTTCGCGATTAAGGCAGGTTTTACGAGCTTACCTTTCTTCGATATCTCGGTGGTGGAAGGGCTGGGGCTGGTGCTCGGCGGCGAGGACACTGCAACGAAAGAAACAAGTTTTTATTTTTAATTAAAGTTTCCTCCTCGTGAGGGGGGCGAGAGGGGAACGGTAGGCGCGTGCCACCTCCACGTTGAAGAGGAGGGCTTGACAACCCAAGGGGGGGATGGCAAGAGGGTTGACTTGGAACCTGCACGGACACAGTTATGGATCGCGCCACCTGTTACTAACTTCGCTCTCAAACGTATTAGCCACCGTGGCGCCGGCCAGTCAGGCCGGATCATATTTTACAATCTACCCACCCTCTTCCAACCCTCTTTCCAACTCTGTCGGCTCGGTGAATATGGTTGAATAATTATTCCTAATATCATGATTCGTTGGATTGCGTGCTCGTTGAATCCAATGGTGTCATCGTTAGGAGAGAAGGTTAGTGGATTTAGGGATTGGAGATTATGTACTGCCAATGACAATTATAATGATAAAAATATCATTTTGTTTATTGTTTTCTTGTTTGGTAATTATGAGATAATATTGAATAATTAATTCTTAATCATCGTGATTTATGGATTTAGTTAAAAGTATTGGATATAGTTAAAAGTGATGGATTTAAGGGTTAATAAAATTAATAAAGAATATAGCAAATTTTTTTTTATTTCATTGTAGCAACAAATGTGCGATAAAAGAAATATTTTTATTTCTATGTTATACCTTTATTAATTATCTAGTAATTGCAGTGATATTGTATATTGATTTAACATTTTGTTTTATTTATTTATCATATAAATTAGTATTATTATACAACATTACATTTTGCATTTTGCAAGTATAAAGGTATAAATTGCAATATTAATAAATATAATTCAAATAATTTCGTTCGAATTGTTCTAATAATATGGCATATCATAACTAACAATTTCGTCTGTTCTTGTATTTGAACTTTGATGATACGTACATCAAGTTTCATATTCACAGATGAATTGTATTAAACTCGTTGAATTAATATTGAATTGGTTGTTGATGTTAAATCATACGAAAATTAGGAGCTATTTTAAGCCTTCAACTTTGAAATTTTAATACAATGAGGCCAAATGAGTTAGAAATATGTGTTATGCTTAGTTGAAATGTTTATAGAATATTTCGCTTTACTTTAAGTGTTTCTATAGCTGATGTAAATAATTCACTCGTGAATATCAGATATATAAACTCAAGTTTGAAGAATTTTAGAATATTTACATTCAAATAAATTTCTTTATCCTTCCATCTAAAATGCTTAATCTCTCTAAAGGTAAATTTTTCAAATATTAAAGAAAAAAAAAATCTCTCCTTTTATTCTTTCTAAATAACACCTAGTTTAAATGTTAAAACTCAATATCTTTTTTTTTTTTTTACATATATTTAATATTTATTTATTCGTTAATCAAGTCTCGTAGCATCGCGAGCGAAAGATTAAAAATCTAACGATTTCAAAATCACAAAAGGGAAGATCGAACGTCGAAATTCTCGCACCTTTTCCAAAAATAACGAATAAAAGCAAAACGGCAAAACGGTAAAACGAACACGGACACAGGAGACAGACACGCGCGACGTTCGAGAAATTATTTAAATCCTTTTCGCCGATTTCAATTAATTTTCGCCCGTCACGATTATCGATCCTCCGCTTCTATTCCGGAAGAGCATCCCTCTTTATTATTCACACGGCGTTTCACGGACAAATTAACGGGTTCGAGGGGGTCGATGGAATACTTTCCTACGACATTACCACGCCAATATGCATATACACCTATTACACGTAATATTCGTAACTAGTTCGTCACCAGATGTTATCTTATAGCGCGGCCATTACTTTGTTGTACTCGCGGATCTTTGTCGTTGATGGAACGGTTAGACTCACGAAGAAACTTTTATCAGGAGGAAATCAATAATTAACCGAGTATTAGTTGTTAAGTCGAACCCGACCTAATTTTCAACGTGAAAATGTTAGATTTTCGTGACAATTTGTAATTGGACGTACATTATTGGTCAAAATTATTATTATTATATTAATTGTAGTTATTCAGAATTTTTTTAGCAACTTATTAATAAATAAAGTAATGATATATATTTCGAGAAAAGCGCATGAATATGAAAAAAGCATTTTCGAAAAATTCTTAATATTTCGTTTCACGTAGTAAGTATTTCTTCTTTTTTTTAAATATTGTCAATAATAAATGAAAAATTATCAATTGAAATTTAATATAGCGAGTTAAAGAAAAGTCAAATACGTTTTGAGGAAAGTGTATTTTAAGCATTTTCTATAAGGATGAGATTATTATATCTCATTTTTTCTCCTTTTTATAGATATTGTGAATAATAAACGAAGGTTAAAAGTTTGAAATAACTTTCTTAATTATAACTATATTCGATATTCTTTCAATTTCATTATTAATTTGTAATTAATTTTACAGAAATTAATAATAATGGATTTTACACGAACAAAAGAATTCCAATCTATCTTTCTCTCAAATTATTGGATTTTACGAAATACGTTAACGATATTCCAAACTTTTGATCAACAGCGTTGTCAGAAAGTGTCTTACTTAAAACGAACTTCACGATTTGGACAACTCTAATTATGAAGTCGTTCTTTAATAAAAAAAAAAAAAAAAAAAAAAATGATACTGCAAGATCCTACCTGTTCTCGAAAGAAATTTTATATCCAAGGGATAATTACACGATATTCGATATTTCTTATCCGATAAAAATGATTACATAGATCGTTCGAGAAATGGATAGTTCGATCGAGAGAAAGTTAGGCTGGATTATTGGTTTACGGAGATTTGTGAGTTGTTTGAGAGAGTAGAAAGGGGTGGATGAGCGAGATGATCTCTGAGAAATAATATTTTGTTTATTATTTCTCAATCTATTAAGGATCGTATTAATAATGAAAAAAATTTCTTAAGAGTTATTACGTGATCGTGATATTTTTAATCTATACATTTTTGTTACATGAAGTTTAAAGTTTGCGGTGCTACATGTGTAAATTAATTTTACATGGAATGGGTTACAAGTTTTTAAAGGGTAAGTTTGGAAGATTCTTAATAAAGACTTATGAAGAAAGTTAGGGAAGTTGAAAGTTTTGAAAAAAGAAATGTTGAAATTTTCAATACAAGTAGGATAATTTATTTGTATCCAACCCAACCTTTTTGAAAAATAACAAATATAAAGAAACAGTTAATTGTACCATGTAATAATAGCATGGCAATTTACGACTGAAACAAGAAATTTTCCTTTTTCTCTTCCCTTCATCTTTTATCGTGCCGAATAATTTAATAACAAGAAATAGCAGATAGTTTTAATAAATGGGTTAGATAAAATGTACACGCCTAAATTAATCTACACGTATAAATGGTATCATTATCTCAGCATGCACTGAAATTGTAATCTCAATATCAGACTTATTCTCACCTATCGTCTTTTCTTATTAAAATAATTGCATCCCACGACATTTGAGAAATGAACAATCAATCCTTTTTGCAAATAAAGAAACAAAACGAAGGGAGAATACTTTACTAAACATTTATCAATAATTTTTGTAATATTTCATTGCACATGAAAATCGATGAAACGTTAAAATTTCAAAATAATTTATTTATTAATTTATTAAAAAATCAATTCAACACTGTATCCATACAACTTTTATCAAGAATAAAAATTTTCAAAAAAAGGAAGCAACGATCATTCTCGTTTCACTGGAATCATTAGCAGAAATCTCGCCTCGAATATCAACCATGATAATTAGCTGTTCGCGCGAGAATCGTATTCGCCCATTGATTACAGGGCGGATTATCTAATTTCAAGGGTTCGTTTCGACGCATGGATATAAATAGGCGGGGGGGAAAAATTCATTTATCACTTTTGCTAGCCGACGACGGAGAAAGAAGAGGCATTAGCCGGCGAGAACGAGGAGGAAAACGAAGGTGGAGAAGACATCGGTGGGGGAGGAAGGTGAGAGAAATAGAGTGAAGACTTCCCATTTTGTACGTGGCTGAGTGGCAGACGGAAGGAAGGAGCGGAAAAAAGGCGGGGAAGAAAAGGAGGGAAGACGGACAGAGAAATATATACAGTCGGGCAGAGACTTTTCACTTTTGATTTATCGCGCCAACTTTTATTTCTCAGGGGAGATATTAAAACCCGTTGTCCCGGCAATTTAACTTCGCGCCACCTGATTGATGATTCGACCAGTCCTACCCTCCTTCGATGCGTCGAATCCCTTATTAGCCTCGATTAATAAAATCGTTCTAAAAGATAAATAAAATTAATATCTCTCGATCGTTGTTCCCTGATAATTTTCTTTTTGTACGATGTAACGAAAGAATAATCTCTCTGTTGATTAAAATTGCTTGAATGAAAAGGAATTAGTCGCATCGAAGATTGTTTTGCAGGGATGAAATATTTTCTTTCATTAAATTTTTATATAGGGAAGAAGAATAGTTTTGAGCTTAAGTTTTACTTTTAGAAAATGATACAACATTTTAAAAACTTACACATAAGTTCTTCTAAAAAAGAATATACAGTTTTTCGAAAAATAATATTAAAATTGTTACAAAAGAATATAGTTAGAATAAAAATTTCTGATTATCTTCTATATTTATAATCAATTAATCATAGTTATATGATCAATTAATTATTTTCACACAACGTAATCAATTTCTACATCGTTTAATTTGAAAATTGAAATTCGTACAAAGATGAAATTAATATCGACAAATATTTTCAGACTTTCAAGAGACACGATCAAATGTCGCACGTTCATCAAAAGAAAAATGATGATGACAATCCACCCTGTAAAATTTACACGTTACACGTGGCTATTTCAAAGTTTCAAGAAGGTAAATGAACCCGTTTAAATCTTAAGCTGCCTTAATTAGTCTAATAGCATCATCCTTTTTCGTCGGTCCATCAGCGACCCTTCCGGCCATCGCTCCATCCAATTTCTTCCGTCGCGTTGGAACCTGTTCAAATATTGGCCGGTTTACTAATTCTAATTAGTGCGTTTCACCTGTAACAAGCCAACTTTCTCGTTTCTCCTCGAGAAAAGAAAAAGAAAGGGATGTTTTCTTGGTGAACGGAGGACGACTATGCGTGTAATAGAGGCGAATGTTAACTTTTCTGTGTGCCAAGTGAATATAAATTGAGAATTAAATCGTGTCCTAATCAGCTCGACGAAAAGAAGTAAGTTTTCTTTTCTTTTTTGCTCTTTCTTTGCTTCTTCTCTTTTTTTCAGGTTGTTCGAAGGAAAGGATATCGAAATATATAAAACTCGTTTAGAATAATTATTCGAAATTTTTATTATATATTTTATTCCTCGTTACTTTGTAATGAATATTTTTATTCGAATAGCAATATATAAATCGAAGTTTATCTTCTATCGTTGGAATAATAAAAAATATCCAATTATCTAATTTAAAAAAAAATATATCATGATATTCTTAAAAACATTCGTTAAATCTAAAGGACAAAAAATTTCTCAGAAAAATATGAAAACTACTACTATCGTACCTAACTATTCCAATTTCACGAAACGAATGGAATAATTTGTACCCATTTTGCACTTCTGTCTTGCCGTGAAAAGAGCGAAGATTTGATTTAACGCGGCAAATTCAATCGGCGGAAATCTGACCGGCTAAAAGAACTGCCTAACATTTCAATAAGTACGATAAATATCCGGCCCACGACGGGGAAACTGTATCATCCTGGCAACTGGCGGTCGGGTCCACTAATAAAAAGCCATACATTTATCACTTTTATCCGCGCTTTATCATACGTACCGCCACGGATACTCATAAAACTGCATTATCCTTGTACGTGTGCAGGAACTTGGTTTTTATCGGGCACGGGCCGATGATATTCTCCCCCCTTTCTCTGCCCCCCCTATCTCTCGAGTCTAACCACTTTTTCCGCTATGCGTTATTCACTGTTGGTTGGACCGTGCCGATAAACAAATTTCCTTGTAGCTACGAAATCAGATTGTGAAGTGGTTTTTTTGATAAAAAAACAATAGTTCAAACTGCGAGATATATTAGATTTCAGAAGATTTAATTGTAGTAGAGGCGATGAAATTTTTTTTTTTATAACAGCAATAATTTATTAAATATATCATAAGTGGGCATTTAATTAATGTATTACAATCATCATATTATTTTTAATCCATTATTTTTATAGATTATGAAATATTAATAGTAGACAAATTTTCTAATGTTAAATATATAAGAAAGAGAATTATACGTTTATCTAACTAATTTGAAAGTAAAAATTATGGGACGTTATTTATGGGATAGTCCAATAGATAAATTGTCAGAATATTAAATATGATACAAAAGCGAGACAAAGATTAATGGATTAAAGATATAAGAATATAAATCGTTTTAAATAACATTGATTACTGATAAAGCATGTAGCTTGTGTTATTAGGGATATGTAACAATTTTACTTTTAACTTTTTGGCAAAGCCAATCGAGCGATTGAATATCGAGTGACTGGCTTATTTCCATCGTTCTCTATAAAAGGATACAATATAAGCTTTAGTGAAAATTTTATCTAGTTTTTCATTTAAAATATGCACATGACTAAACACACGTTTTTATCACTAATAAATTTCTTCTATCATTCCATTTTGATAATTTTCCAATTATACGTATAATTATTATTAATATCTATTAATTTTAAACATAAAAAGATTATTATTTAATTTAGCATTTAAATCCAATTTTTTACTTCTTTTTATTTTAAAAAATATATTTATTTATAATTTAAAATTCACAATCTATACTAAGTGAAAAAAAATATTATTAAAAATAAATATTTTAAATTGTATTTATTTAGAAATCATTTCTATAAAATTCAATTAACACGGAATTTTTATTTTTATAAATTGTTCTAACAGAAATTTTTGTTTGTTCGTATTGGTGAATGAGATTTCACAATGAATTCTTTCCATATCAATATTTTATTTGACCGCTCTATTTACACGGGTAAATGTAGTATTGAAACGAGTGTATTAATCGAACTATGTTGACGAGGCTCCGTTTAAATCAATTCCAAATTATACGTTTCGGGAACCAATTACGACCATTTAACGCATCAACGAGAAACAATTCAATTTAACATCGTCTATTTATAGAGAGACGACAACTGAAAAATTGCCAATTGCGCGCAATCTGTGAAAACGTTCGTTTCATTTCAATTCTAATCCATCTTTAATTAATTGTCACTTCATAAATAGAAATTGTTATATTTAGTAGTCTAAATAAAATAACTAATATCATATCTTATTATTACTATATAGTGTAAAATATCACTGAGTTGAAGATTTTTTTTTCTTTTTAAAGAAATTCATTATTTATATTCGAAAGTCTATTACACGGATAAAGTGACGATAAATTATATCCAATAAGCGAAAGGATACTACATATACATATACACAGTTATTATAAGTGATATTAGATTTTGAAATGGAAATAGAATACGCAGATACATACATAATTACTTTAGCGAGTTGGAAACTTTGTCATCCACCAACTGATTCTCTTACCTTCCATTAATTTCATTTTCATGATGATTCTATCTATTATCACTCGAAGTTATAATTCCATTTCGAAACGTCTAATTAATTCTAAATGCCTGAACGTCGAACATCGCATACATGTTTCGATACATGTTTACACATATACGTGCTAAAGTTAATATTAACCAAATACCATTTCAAATATTTAATTTAACATCCACAAATTCGATTCTTTTCAATTATATACATACTACTCTTGAGTTCCATTCCTCCAATACTTCGTTCCATCAATTATACAACTTTCTCGAAGATTTGCCTTACTTTCATATCATTATCGACACCTTTCAATCTCGACTATTCTATTTTCCAACGGATCCACTTCGAATTTTCCCCTTTGATCATAAACACTCATCATCGATCGCAATCTCATCTATTCACCCCATTACCGATCTCAACTAGATTTATCTCACTTGCCACGAATCAATATCCAACTTCGAATCATCAGTCTCAAATACCCTCCCTCTCCAATTTCCACAACTCTCGAATTCTATTTTCGATGATCCTAGCCTCCTCCATCCCCATTTTTAAATTCATACCGATCATCATATCTTATCCACAATTTACATATTCAACTCTCTCTCGAATTTATCCCACCCAACGATCTCTCAACCAACTCTTTCCCTTCCCTTTCAAATTTTCTCGATCGATAATTACCAATACAATACTTTCGCAAAATCATCGTGGTGCGACGAACCACCCTCCACCCCTCCCCGCTCGTCCCAATCGGGGAACGTAATTCCCAGGTCTGATGATCCCGCAACAACGACGACGGCCACGATCGTTAACCCGAGCGCGCGAGGAGGGTTGGTCGAGATCGGGAGGAAATAATTTGACGACCGAGCGTCGTCATCATCGAATCACCGGTGGCGATAGGACTGGCGGGAAATTGCCAGCTTCGTTACTCACGGAATACGTAATCGAATATCGGGGAACAATGGCGGATTGTCGCTGCCTTATGTAGATGCCTTCTACCCGGTGTCTGTAATTACTCGTAACGGAATCCCCTGTTGACGTATCGAGGCAAGATAGTCGTTCGTTTGATCCAATTAACCCTAAATGACAGTGGGGAGGGTGCGATGAAAAGCCAACTGCTGCGATAGGAATCGGGGGATTCCTGTTGTTACGTCTCCGTTTACAGGTGTTGGAGAAGGTGTTTAAGAATAAATTAGATAAGCTTGGATAATTATTTGCTTGGGGAATTATTGCAAAGTCGATTATAATGTAAATTATAGAGGGTGTATGTGTAGGAGGATCGATCGTATATTCGAATACAGGTTAAAACAAAATTAAGGTTTATTTATTAAACCTTATAAATAGTTTTAATAAGGTTCAAGTTTTTGCATAAATATCTTATTATCAAGTTTATTATTCGTTACAGTTCTTATAATCAATTTTGATGTTTGTATCATAGATTTCTACACTTTGTGGAGTTTATAAATATTTTTTTTCATCAATTCGAAGAATCTGTCGAAATAGTTTGCTTACATGCTACTGTCATCATCACGAGCTTTACTAATGGTATCTATTAAATCATTTACACCAGAGACGACGAATCAACGGCTCAGCTGCCATATCTCTTATCCTTCCTCCGATGTCTCCGTTCAATTCCAATAGTATCGACACCTATTTGACATCATCAATCTATCAATTCCCCTTTGTTTTTGCTAAATACGTATTATCGAATAGCTAACAGCAATTAATATCGAATAAAGATGGATAATGTGTACTTATATATTCACAAATATTCTGTTGAAAATAATAAGAGAAGAAAAAAAGATAGAAAATTAAAAAATTACTGTATCTGAATATATCTCATCATATAAAACGTGCTGATAAATAGATCATCAATTGAATAGAAATTTCATGATAGTTTTCATAATAGATCAATTGATTTAATATTTTATTCAATAAAGGAGACATAAAAGGGTTGAATTAATTCTGAAAAATTGAAAAAAATGTACCCAATTAAAATTCCAAATGATTTTCGAGCATGCACGATAGTTTCTATACGGTTATCTCATGGCTACTCAAATTTCTCTCGCTTTGGATGCGAACACCCCTCTTTGATAATTATCGATCCACCTCCCCCATTCAAGCGTCTCATGGCGCATCGATCTATTAACTTGTCACCGATGTTTCTGGTGAAAGGTGACAGGAAGCCGCCGGTGGTGTCTGTACGTGGTGATTATTAGCAGTCGTTGCGAAGATAGTGTGTACGCTGAAGATGCCGAGAACAGATAACAGGATTTGTGGCACGAATTTGATCACCAGGAAATTCGTAGTTGCGGGTTTGGTAATGGAGATTAGACAGAAATGCGTATTGGAATTACATCGATTTGATTAATCGTAGAATTTATTATAGGAATCAATCAAATTTTTAATGCTTTCCTTAAAACGACGATCATTTATCTACATTTTTACATCAGAGAATTAGAAAATTCCACGTTATCCAATTTTTGAAAATAAAGTCAAAAATTCTTCATATATATATATATTATATTGAATTTAAAGAATCCATTAAGAAAATCTTCTATTGAAAAATATTATACCCATTGCATAATTATACACATTTAATAAAAATGAATCGAAATCTCTCTATATTATATTTACATACTTATATATATTAAAAATTGCAATTTATTTTTCAGCCCTCAACCATCAACCGATTAACCTCACTTTCCCCACCGAGAAAGATCGTTCCAAAGCTGTTGTAAGGAACGAAATATTCGGAGAGAAATGCAAAGGAAGACGCACTCTCGGCGGTGAAATTAGTATGCGTGGGATGTCGTGGGGCGATGGGGGCGAGGATGACGAGGTTTCCTACACCTTTCGCACGATTCCTGGACCAGGCCAGAGCAGACCCCGTTAATTTTCCATCCCGTGACTCCAATCAATCTTACGGCCCGTCACCGGCTCTCCCTTATGACGATGGCCTCCACCTCCACCTCCGGCTTTGATACGTCACCACCCCTCCGCCCCTTTCACCCTCATTTCCGCCGCGATTTCTGACATTGTGACGGAGAATCCGCTAAATACCCGAGGACGTGTCGTTTGTCCGTCGTGGTGACGCGTCCACGGATTTCGAGGCTGCGAACACCACCTTCTCACCTGTCGTCCTTCATTGTCGGACGACTTCGAACGTTGATTATCGGACGTCATCCCGGGACGGAAAATTCGGTAAAACTGCCGTTTGCGTTCACGATTGATAGATAGTTTAATGGTTTATGGGAAAATGTGAGTGTTTATTTTAAAAATTGTGTTTATAATATTGGATTGTATCTCAAGATATTTGAATAAATAAAATTGATACGATAAATCGTTGTTGAATTTTTGTAGAAAGTTTAAGTTTAATACGTGTATTTCTCATATCGATTTAAATTAGAATAAAATAATTTGAATTTTAAATTATACACGATTGTTTGTGCAACAATATGTACAACATTTGTAGAGAGAGAGAAAAAAAAGAAAATTATAATTCCATGATCAAATCTATCTTTTTATAACACATTATCGTATTTTCTCTCCACCATTATTTTGTTGCACGCAACCCACTACTCTTCCATTTTTATAACTCACTCATTTTCCACTTCCACGACTTCCCTACCTATAATACATCCTCGAGGGTAGAAATAGTTTGTCAATTATCGTGACACCTCGTTAATTTTTCACCTTAATCTATGATCGATCCGACGTCTCGTATATCGTCCAGTCTGATGGCTGGGGGAAGGGGAGGCTTTTCCTCGTCTCAAATTCGACCTCGATAAGTCATCACGATCGTGATCCACGATCTTGATTTTCGTTACAACGAGAGGAACGTTGTCTCACGATGAAATGTAAAACATATCCTGTCACGTTGTTTGCATACGTTTGTCGAAATCCAATTAACGACGTGAAAGGTTCGCGTGTCGTGTGAGGAATCGCTCCAACTTTTTCCCCCATTTAATGCGTCATCGACGATCGATAATGATGAGTTTTAAATAGAATATCTGATGTTTTTCGTTTACGAATATCTTCTTCCTTTCGTTTTCATTTTTTTTTTTCAAACAAATAACTCGAAATTTTATAAAATATACAAGTAATTTTCAAACATGATGATTATTTAAATAGTTTAGATTTATAGAAATTCGATTTATAAGTATTCAATTTCATCAGCTATTGCACAGCCAAAATCATGTAACTTCTACTTTGTGTTAGTGGTTAGACTAATAATCGATTTAACTCCTTATAGAATAAAACAACATCACAATCGAACAAATACATTGTTTAAAGAAAGTTTTTACATTACTTATTGAGAATTCTTTTTAGAAAAAAAAATTAGTAGTGTTAAGTTATAAATTTTTAAATGCGAAAGAAAACTTGATATGCATCAGAAATAAAATAAAATGATTTGCAGAAATATTTATCACTTTTTCGCATGTTTATGAAAATATATTCGATTTCAAATAGACTTCATTAAACGCGTTGCAAAATTTCCAGTTTTAATTACAAATTCTATCATCTGACATGTTTCGTTCGTTGGCCATACAATATTCGTTTTCAATGTTATTGTTTTTCACATACTTATCTTATTTGTTCATTCCCAATTTTAATATGCGTGAAATTTATCGATTATTTCAATTATGACAATTGCAAATATATTCTATTTGGGAATAATATTTATTTCCTGCGTGGAATTATCCCATTCAACTATCCCACTCGCGAATTTCAACAGCCACGGAATAAGTTTGCATTTATTTTTGGTTTCTAAACGATGATAAAATGTGAAGTTCGCTTGGAACTAGGTATTTACTTCACAAGTATATTTTATACAACTGAATATTTGTTTTATTAAGTTGGTAGAATTTTTAAACAATTGTATAATATTGTTAATAATAATTCTATTAATTACAGAGCTCCAAAATTTCTCGTCAAAGTTAGATTAAACAATACTGAACGAATAACAATCTAAATAATATTTCCACATAATAATATATATTATAAAAACTTGTGTAAATATTATATTATAAAATAAAGGATATTTTTAATATAGAAAATAATTACATTCTGAAGAATTTAGATTTTAAAAAAAGACTATTTCCTTTTAAAAATTACATATTTTTCATATATAAATCGATTAAATATATTAATAATATAATATGCTTTTATTACAGACATAAGTATATCAAATATATATCAATACATTAACAACAATAATTCAAAAAATAGCAAATGCATCCAGGTCTTGGAAGAAGTAAATATGCAGAGGTAAGTATCTAGAATTAAGTAAACTGTTGAAAAACAATAAAAAAATCGGAAAAAAGAATGAGAGCAAAAACAGGTAAGTAAGTAAAACAAGTAAGTAAAACAGGTAAGTATAAAAAAGGTAGGTATATTTCACAAATTTCTATTGCTAAAATTCTAGAAAAATTTCAAGTGCAACCTCCTTTAAAATTATGTTCTCCTAATAGAAAATAGAATTTTTGGACAAAAGTTCCGATATATTGTTCGATATATTATTGGAAATTTCCGAGAAATTGACGTCAGTTCCAAGAACTTCAGAAATTC